ACGTTAGTGAGACGTTAGTGTGAGACGTTAGTAAGTGTGAGACGTTAGTAGGTGTGAGACGTTAGTGTGAGACGTTAGTAAGTGTGAGACGTTAGTAGGTGTGAGACGTTAGTAAGTGTGAGACGTTAGTAAGTGTGAGACGTTAGTGAGACGTCAGTAAGTGTGAGACGTTAGTAAGTGTGAGACGTTAGTAAGTGTGAGACATTAGTGTGAGACGTTAGTGAGACGTTAGTAAGTGTGAGACGTTAGTGAGACGTTAGTGTGAGACGTTAGTAAGTGTGAGACGTTAGTAAGTGTGAGACATTAGTAAGTGTGAGACGTTAGTGAGACGTTAGTAAGTGTGAGACGTTAGTGAGAGACGTTAGTAAGTGTGAGACGTTAGTGAGACGTTAGTAAGTGTGAGACGTTAGTGAGAGACGTTAGTAAGTGTGAGACGTTAGTAAGTTTGAGACGTTAGTAAGTGTGAGACGTTAGTGAGACGTTAGTGTGAGACGTTAGTAGGTGTGAGACGTTAGTAAGTGAGAGACGTTAGTAAGACGTTAGTGTGAGACGTTAGTAAGTGTGAGACGTTAGTGAGACGTTAGTAAGTGTGAGACGTTAGTGAGACGTTTGTGTGAGTCGTTAGTAAGTGTGAGACGTTAGTTAGTGTGAGACGTTAGTAAGTGTGAGACGTTAGTGAGACGTTAGTAAGTGTGAGACGTTAGTGAGACGTTTGTGTGAGACGTTAGTAAGTGTGAGACGTTAGTTAGTGTGAGACGTTAGTAAGTGTGAGACGTTAGTGAGACGTTAGTGTGAGACGTTAGTAAGTGTGAGACGTTAGTGCGAGACGTTAGTGTGAGACGTTAGTGAGACGTTAGTAAGTGTGAGACGTTAGTAAGTGTGAGACGTTAGTGAGACGTTAGTGTGAGACGTTAGTAGGTGTGAGACGTTAGTAAGTGTGAGACTTTAGTAAGTGAGACGTTAGTGAGACGTTAGTAAGTGTGAGACGTTAGTAAGTGTGAGACGTTAGTAAATGTGAGACGTTAGCAAGTGTGAGACGTTAGCGAGACGTTAGTAAGTGAGGGACGTTAGTAACTGTGAGACGTTAGCGAGACGTTAGTGAGTGTGATACGTTGGTGAGACGTTAGTAAGTGTGAGACGTTAGTAAGTGTGAGACGTTAGTGAGACGTTAGTAAGTGTGAGACTTTAGTGTAAGACGTTAGTAAGTGTGAGACGTTAGTAGGTGTGAGACATTAGTAAGTGAGAGACGTTAGTGCGACATTAGTAAGTGAGAGACGTTAGTGAGACGTAAGTGTGAGACGTTAGTGAGACGTTAGTAAGTGTGAGACGTTAGTGAGACGTTAGTAAGTGTGAGACGTTAGTAAGTGAGAGACGTTAGTGAGACGTTAGTAAGTGAGACGTTAGTGTGACGTTAGTGAGACGTTAGTGAGACGTTAGTAAGTGTGAGACGTTAGTAAGTGTGAGACGTTAGTAAGTGTGAGACGTTAGTGAGACGTTAGTGTGAGACGTAAGTGTGAGACGTTAGTAAGTGTGAGACGTGAGTAAGTGAGACTTTAGTAAGTGTGAGACGTTAGTGAGACGTTAGTAAGTGCGAGACGTTAGTGAGACGTTAGTAAGTGTGAGACGTTAGTGAGACGTTAGTAAGTGTGAGACGTTAGTAAGTGTGAGACGTTAGTGTGAGACGTTAGTAAGTGTGAGACGTTAGTGTGAGACGTTAGTAAGTGTGAGACGTTAGTGTGAGACGTTAGTAAGTGTGAGACGTTAGTGTGAGACGTTAGTAAGTGTGAGACGTTAGTGAGACGTTAGTAAGTGTGAGCCGTTAGTGTGAGACGTTAGTAAGTGTGAGACGTTAGTAAGTGTGAGACGTTAGTAAGTGTGAGACGTTAGTGAGACGTTAGTAAGTGTGAGACGTTAGTGTGCGACGTTAGTAAGTGTGAAACGTGAGACGTTAGTAAATGTGAGACGTTAGTAAGTGTGAGACGTTAGTGTGAGACGTTAGTAAGGGACATTAGTGAGTGTGAGACGTTAGTAAGACGTTAGTGAGACGTTAGTGAGAGACATTAGTGAGTGTGAGACGTTAGTAAGACGTTAGTAAGTGTGAGACGTTAGTAAGTGTGAGACGTTAGTAAGTGTGAGACGTTAGTGTGAGACGTTAGTAAGTTTGAGACGTAAGTGTGAGACGTTAGTAAGTGTGAGACGTTAGTGTGAGACGTTAGTGAGTGTGAGACGTTAGTAAGACGTTAGTAAGTGTGAGACGTTAGTGTGGGACGTTAGTGTGTGGCGTTAGTAAGTTTGAGACGTAAGTGTGAGACGTTAGTGTGAGACGTTAGTAAGTGTGAGAGGTTAGTAAGTGTGGGACGTTAGTGAGACGTTAGTAAGTGTGAGACGTTAGTGTGAGACGTTAGTGAGTGTGAGACGTTAGTAAGTGAGAGACGTTAGAAAGTGTGAGACGTTAGTGTGAGACGTTAGTGTGAGACGTTAGTAAGTGTGAGACGTTAGTAAGTGTGAGACGTTAGTGTGAGACGTTAGTAAGTGTGAGACGTTAGTAAGTGAGACGTTAGTGTGAGACGTTAGTAAGTGTTGGATGTTAGTAAGTGTGAGACGTTAGTTTGAGACGTTAGTGAGACGTTAGTACGTGCGAGACGTTCATAAGTGGAGGACGTTCGTAAGTGCGGGACGTTCGTATCTCGGGGACTGCCCGTAGTTGTTTCTGACACAGACGACCTCGCTGTGCATCACAGCAGAGCCGCGTGGATTGTGGAACACATTTTATTGTTGTTATTTACAACGATACCCGCCCCCCCCCCCCCGCCCCCCACACACACAGCAACAATTACCGACGCCCAGTTATCCGTCAGATCCGCTACACCCGCATCGGCCTGCCCGGCAAATTCCATAACCACCGTCCGTGTCAATGGCCGTATCGCCAACTCGCGTGCACGTCCCTCTCGCCGCACACATTTCAACCCCAGCCATGCGCACATCAGCTCCGTCACTCCAACCTCGTCCGCCTCGTGGCTCCAAGCGTCAACAAATATTCCATCGTCAGCTAAGAACGGACAACGACAACAACAACAAGGCGAAACAAAAGGACTGTACATTTCGATTTGAAGCTCTCGCGACTGCAAGGATTCGCCTTCTTTGGTTCTTTCGGTAAAGTCACCGCCACGTAGAGTGAGAATTAAAATAATAAATGAATAAAATAAAATAACGCGGTAAAATTCTCACGACGTTTCGGCCACAACGCAAGCGGACGTCTTCAGGTGAAAGGAACGGACCTGTCGGGACGACAGAGCTTCAATGAACGATGTTAAGATTCGTAGCGACTGTTAAGCTGGTTGGGAGAAGTGAGGCACCTTGACAAAGGGGGTTTACATATCAAATAGCTGAGGGATTAGCTTGTGACTGGTCACAGAAATAGATGTTAAAGTCAAAACATACACATCCACAGAGGCAACTAGTAATTTAGCATTGAAATAGCTAAGGGATTAGCTTGTGACTGGTCACAAGAATGGCTATGTTAAAGTCAAAACCTACACATCCACAGAGGCAACTAGTAATTTAGCATTGAAATAGCTGAGGGATTAGCTTGTGACTGGTCACAGGAATGGCTATGTTAAAGTCAAAACCTACACATCCACAGAGGCAACTAGTAATTTAGCATTGAAATAGCTGAGGGATTAGCTTGTGACTGGTCACAGGAATGGCTATGTTAAAGTCAAAACCTACACATCCACAGAGGCAACTAGTAATTTAGCATTGAAATAGCTAAGGGATTAGCTTGTGACTGGTCACAGAAATAGATGCTAAAGTAAAGGCCTACACATCCATCTAAGCTCTGTGGATGTGTAGGTTTTGACTTTAACATAGCCATTCCTGTGACCAGTCACAAGCTAATCCCTCAACTATTTGATATGTAAACCCCTTTGTCAAGGTGCCTCACTTCTCCCAACCAGCTTAAAGGTCGCTACGAATCTTAACATCGTTCATTGAAGCTCTGTGGATGTGTAGGCCTTTACTTTAACATCTATTTCTGTGACCAGTCACAAGCTAATCCCTCAGCTATTTGATATGTAAACCCCTTTGTCAAGGTGCCTCACTTCTCCCAACCAGCTTAAAAGTCGCTACGAATCTTAACATCGTTCATTGAAGCTCTGTGGATGTGTAGGCCTTTACTTTAACATCTATTTCTGTGACCAGTCACAAGCTAATCCCTCAGCTATTTGATATGTAAACCCCTTTGTCAAGGTGTCTCACTTCTCCCATCCAGCTTAAAAGTCGCTACGAATCTTAACAGCGTTCATTGAAGCTCTGTCGTCCCGACAGGTCTGTTCCTTTCACCTGAAGACGGCCGCTTGCGTTGTGGCCGAAACGTCGTGAGAATTTTACCGCGTCATTTTATTATTTTTATTCTCACTCCACGTGGCGGTGACTTTTGCCGAAAGAACCAAAGGAGAAAAAAGGACTGTAACCTGGCACTGGCCGAACATCCCCATGTTGAAGCGTTACACCTGGAAGATCATTGCTCTCTGCTGCGAATTAACTTGACGGGGCACCTGAAGCAACACAAATCTGGAGACTCGGCGAGGCTTTGATGGGTAAACAAGCGTAGTGATGATAATAATGATGATGATGTCCTCAGGGTTATTATTTGCATGATCACCAAGGTTGGCTAAGCCCGTTGCGAAAGAATTTCACACTCAGCAACAACAACCACAACCGCCATTCGCCACTAAGTGGCGGTGACATCACCGCGACGCTTGTGCCAGGCCATGTGCACCTTGAGGCCACGCGCATACAATGAACGAAACAGTCAAACACCCCCCCACCACCCACCCACCCCCACGTTAGCGGTGTGCCGAGCTTACGGAAGTGTCTGGAACGACAAAGCCACCACAGTCACCCGCACCTCCACCCCGACCAGCACGTCACCTGACCGTCAACTAACTTTAACGAAAACAAATTCTTCGTCTCGCTGTGCTCTTCACACGCGGTGACGGCTATCTCGCGTGGCAGCCGAAACCTCGTGACAATGTCGTCGTTTCATTTTGGTCGTCGTCAAAGTCGTCGTCAAAGTCGTCGTCAAAGTCGTCGTCAAAGTCGTCGTCGTTATTTCCCTTCCACGGGGCGACTTCAAGCGAGAGAGCCGAGGACGTGAGACTCGCCGTTTTGTCACGGAGATATTCGCGGCCGAGCTGCCCCACGTCCAGTCGGTGGGGGGGCAGGGGGGGCAGGGGGGGCAGGGGAGGACGACGTTTTATTGAATCTTAAATCCCTCGCCCCGACCTTCTGGTGCCCGTCTACATCCACCCTGCGCTGGCCACGATCCCGAGCCGGCCACAAACCACCAACCGCCTCAGGTGGCCGGCGAATCATCGGGGCGACCGCCCCGGGGGGGCCCCGCGCTTTGGGGGGGCCGTCCCGGGTTTCGACGTCACGGTGACTCGGGGGGGGGGGGGCCACAGTGGGATCAGCCCCCGGCACCTCACCCCCCCCCGCCCACTATGGACGGCCCCGCCCCCCCCCCCCCAGCGGCGTCAATGGATTCACCCACCTCAGTTGACTGTCACGGACACGCTGGCGACGTCACAAAGGCACTGATTCCGATGTCATAATGGCACTGAAACTATCACGAAGGCACCGATTCTGATTGTGACGTCACCATGGCACTAACCGTGTCACGTAGCCACTGACTCTGATTGTGACGTCACAAAGGCACTAACCGCGTCAAAAAATACAATCTTGTGATGCCAACAAAAGCACTGGGGATGATGACGGTGATGACGGTGATGATGACGGTGATGACGATGATGATGGCGATGGTGGTGACGATGGTGATGACGACGGTGATGATGGTGGTGACGGTGATGACGGTGATGATGACGGTGATGATGGTGGTTACAGTGATGACGGTGGTGATGATGGTGGTGATGATGATGGTGATGATAGTGGTAATGACGGTGGTGACGGTGATGACGGTGATGACGGTGGTGATAACGGTGATGACGGTGATGACGGTGATGACGACGGTGATGGTGACGGTGGTGTGGAGCGACTCTCCGTGAGGGCGCAGCAAACGCCATTTGGACATCCGTGAAGAACTTCACAGCCCATCGGATTCACCCACGGCAAACAAATAAGACGCTTGTGATTCTGGTGCTACTCGAGAGGTGGTGAGGCCGGCCCTGAGATCCGGTCTCCCCGCAAAGTCTCCAGACCCCCCCCCCCCCACTCTTGATTCTCGTCACCACCCCCACAAAGTCTCAAGACCCCCCCCCCCCACGAGACTCTGATGACGGTGGTGACGGTGGTGACGATGGTGATGACGATGGTGATGTGATGGTGATGATGGTGATGATGGTGATGATAATGGTGATGATGGTGATGATAATGGTGATGGTGGTGATGATGGTGATGATGATGGTGATGATGGTGGTGATGATGGTGGTGATGACGGTGATGACAGTGATGACAGTGATGACGATGGTGATGATGATGGTGAGACGCCCAAGCCCCCAAGACTCCTGACACTCGAGGACTTCGACCGTCAGGGGCCGTCCATAAATGACGTCACGCGATTTTGGAAGTTTTTTTGACCCCCCCTCAAATATGACGTCACAAAGCTCTGCCCCCTCCCGCCCCCCCCCCAAAAAAATATATAAAACATGCTTCAAATGGCTGTAAACTATTGTTGTCATTGTAGTGCGTATTGAACGTGGAGCTGCACTCTGATGTTGCAGGAGAACACATTTATTAAACAAAGTCTATTTAATTAAAGCGGAACGCGTTGCCTGTATTTATTGATAAAGTGGCGCGTTTTGATGTGACGTCACATTTCTCACACCCCCCCTCCCCCGGTGCGTGACGTCATTCATGGACGGCCCCTTACCGCCGGGCACGTCGTGCCTACACTGTCTGTGAGTGTTAGTGACGTGGCTCCGTGTGAGTGTTAGTGACGTGGCTCTGTGTTAGTGACGTGGCTCCGTGTGAGTGACGTGGCTCCGTGCGAGTGTTAGTGACGTGGCTCCGTGCGAATGAAACCCGCCTTGCCAGGGGTGTTCAGTCACACGGCCAAGTCTGTAGTGTTCTAATCACACGGCGGCGGTCTCTAGGGTTAATGAGGGAGTGCAGACACGGGGAGGAGGGCGTGCGTGTGTGCGTGCGTGTGCGTGTGTGCGTGTGTGTGTGTGCGTGCCCCAGTTTAACAGCAGAGGTCTCACTCCGAATCAGTCGAGCGGCAACATCTTTTCATCGGTTGCGTAACACTGTGTGGAAGCTACCTGGTCTGTCGCTCCGCACTAAGCTTCAGGTCTTCTCGGCCACGGTCATTCCCTCCCTTCTCTACGCTTGCGAAACGTGGACCCCCCTAATGGAACATCTTCGCCGGTTAGAAACATTTAGGCTGGCCTGCCTACGATCCATCCTGGGTTTAACCAGACTGGATTGTGTGAGGAGCTCACAAATCCTTGAAAGATCTGGGCAAGGTCCCATCGGTGAGCTCCTCTGGCGGGGAAGGCTGTGTTGGCTGGGTCATGTAGCCCGCATGCCCAGCCACCGCATGCCAAAACATCTTTTGTTCGGCCGGATCGAGGGGGCTAAACGGGCGCGGCACGGGCTAGAGAAGAGATGGAGTGATGTGGTACAGGAGGACGTGGAGCTGAGTCGACTTGCCAATGACTGGTACCAGCGGTGTCAAGAACGGCCTCTGTGGAGGAGGCTCGTGAAGGATGCTACTGGGCAGTTGGAGGCAGTCGCCCTCCAACAACAACAGAGGGTGGAGGAGCGACGCTCAGAACAACGAGCGGAGCGCCGGGTGGCTAAAGCACAGCAGGTTGGCACAGTAGGGGGCACAGGTGGTGCATCAGCCAGTCATCTCAGTCATCTCAGTCAGTCGACCCGTGGCACCTGGGTCTGCCCCGTGACCTCCTGCCAGCGGGCGTTCGACACTTCACGTGGCCTCACTCAGGGTGCACATAGCCTGGCACAAGCGTCGTGGTGACGTCACCGCCACTTAGTGGCGAATGGCGGTTGTTGTTGTGTGTGTGCGCGTGTGTGCGTGTGTGTGTGTGTGCGTGTGTGCGTGCGTGTGTGCGCGTGTGTGCGTGCGTGTGTGTACGTGTGCGTGTGTGTGTGGTGTCGTGGTCAGCAACCACGATAAAACAATGAAACCGCACGCACTTAAGATTATGAAAGCCGACGAAAGGACACAAATATAAACCCGACACAAAGACCCCCCCGCAATCGTAGAAAAAAATAAAACCATAATAACAAACAAACAAAAAATCAGCATCGTCAGCCACGGGCAATCCACTGCCGGAGGACCACACACACCTCCTCCTCCCCGCAAACGCGGAAAACACAAACGCGGGGAAAAAAAACAAACCGCGGGAAAGAGCAACGATTCAACCAAAACACCCGAATTAAATTAAAAATCAAAAGCCCAGCGGGTTAAATTACAGACATGACGAAACCTCCAACGAGCGGAAAAGCGCGTGGGTGACGCCGCGTACCTGCTGACGTCACGCACGCACGCACAGCGAGCGGAGACCGACGTCACTTAGCCCCGCCCGTGGCCCTACTTGGCCCTGAGCCAGACTGGCTGCAGCCAGTGGCGTCCACTATCTTGGTTTGGTTCTAGCTTGGCATGGCAAAGAGACTTTGATTAACCATCCCCGCACACCATGGAGAGAGGGGAACAGAGGTGTATTTTGGCATCTCTGTGGAACACTGCAATGTTGACCGTCTTGCCGATGTGTTCACCAGTTACCTGGTTGATACGTTCACCGGATAGCCGGTTAACATGTTTCCAAACGGCACTGGACACACGCTAATCCAACATCCTCCGGCCTGCACACACAGACGACAAGCGAGCACGCGCACACGCGCACACAGGCACGCACACACACACAGGCACGCACACACAGACAGGCACACACACACAGGCACACGCAGACATCATTATGATTCACTCGTGTTTCATGAGTCTCAAGACTTTGTTCAGGAGTTTGCGCCATACGCAGCTGCTACTGCTGCTGCTGCCTGCTGCTGCTGCTGCCTGCTGCTGCTGCCTGCTCCTGCCTGCTGCCTGCCGCTGCTGCTGCTGCCTGCTGCTGCTGCTCCTGCCTGCTGCTGCTGCTGCTACTGCTGCCTGCTACTGCCTGCTGCTGCTACTGCCTGCTGCTGCTGCTGCTCCTGCCTGCTGCTGCTGCTGCTACTGCTGCCTGCTACTGCCTGCTGCTGCTACTGCCTGCTGCTGCTGCTGCTCCTGCCTGCTGCTGCTGCCTGCTGCTGCTGCCTGCTGCTGCTGCTGCCTGCTGCTGCTATTGCTGCTGTTGCTGCCTCCTGCTGTTGCTGCCTTCTGCTACTGCTGCTGCTGCTGCCTGCTGCCGCTGCTGCGTGCTGCTACTACTGCTGCTGCTACTGCTGCTACTACTGCTGCTACTGCTGCCTGCTACTGCTACTACTGCTGCTGCTACTACTGCTGCTACTACTGCTGCTACCTGCTGCTGCTGCTGCCGTGTGCGATCCCAACTGAGTAATTAGCAGGTAATTTTTCAGCATGCGGCTACTGCGTTGGCCAATACCGGTGACACTGCTTGATTTTTTCCACATGACAGAGACAAACTGCTGGGGCAAGCGCTGTCAGCGAGCAGCAGCAGCAGCGCCGATGAAGACCGGCACGGCACACGAGGAGGTTGGTGGCGAGCACCTCGCCCGGCCAGCCTCTGTCTCCCCGGCGGTGATGCTTACACACCGCACCAGGTACTCATTTGTGGCTCAGTCGACCTAGGGGAGAGGCCCAGGACCGGTTCAGATAATCGTCAACGGTGTTGGTGGCCGTGAGCGGGAATCCAAAGTCGGGTGGCCGGGTTCGTAGCGGAGCGCTAGCCGCTGCACCACCGCTCCCCACAACAACAACAACAACCGCCATTCGCCACTAAGTGGCGGTGACGTCACCACGACGCTTGTGCCAGGCCATGTGCACCCTGAGGCCACGTGAAGTGTCGAACGCCCGCTGGCAGGAGGTCACGGGGCAGACCCAGGTGCCACGGGTCGACTGACTGAGATGACTGGCTGATGCATCACCTGTGCCCCTTACTGTGCCAACCTGCTGTGCTTTAGCCACCCGGCGCTCCGCTCGTTGTTCTGAGCGTCGCTCCTCCGCCCTCCGTTGTTGTTGGAGGGCGACTGCCTC